CGTACCGGTTTCTACAATCTCAAGAATTCCAAATATATTCAGCAAGTCTCTATGTTTCCATCTTCCTTGTGTCTTTCTGATGTATATATCTAGTGGATCGCATGTTTGAAGTGATGCACGCCGGGTCATGGCACAATCGACACCCTGGGGATACACGAATTAACCTTGATTTGGCTGGAATCGTCTCACTGTACGACACCACGATCGCACCATCACTCGTTGGTTCACGCGCCGGCCAGGAGCGGTGCGACCACCGCGTACAAGGCATATCTTCCGTAGATATGGAGGTGGTGAGACGTAGCGTCTCTCGCGCCTTAGAGCGGCATCAGGGCGACTTTAGTGGCATCGACTGGAAAACTCTTTTCAGAGTCATCGTGGAACGTTACTCAGACCGCCTTGACTTGATGGACTACCTTCTCAATCACACCTCGGAAAATGACACGCCTTGGGACCAAGCAAGCAAGGTGCACTTCCAGCTGCGCGTGATGCTCACGCCATACATTTTCCACACTAGTGTTCCCCCCAGCGCATCCTATGACTCAGCTCATTCCTGGGCGACACCAGTGTTCAAAGCATGCGGGACTGTGCACACATCGTCCATCGCATCATATAGTTCAAGCTTGAACCATTCCGAACGCCTACTGTTGAATGCAGTACAAGAAACTACACGCGAGATATGTCGCATTATCACAAAGATGTGGGCTGCTGGCGTCGTTGCAGGTCTTGATCCATATCTTCCCCGTGATTCCCCTTCAGACGCCGCAGAAATTGCCCGCCTGATAGATACGTGGAGGCAAGAAATAAGTGATTTGATGGCTTGGCTTGATTGGAGCGTGTGGGTTAGGTGTCATCCAGCTTGCGGGCCTGAGGTAAACGTCTTGACATCATCCACTGCCTGCATTTTACCTGCGTTTCCTTTAGGAAATGTGCTACCTTCCCACTTGGCCCATCAACGCGCCGTGGCCAGGGCGTCGTCCTCCACATAGAGAATACGAGGGCAGTGATATTATCAACGCGTCCTTCTCAGACAGACTATCTCTCAAGCACAGACTCCTTATGCAGCTTGCGGGTCCTGGGGGTGATGAATGGAGGAAGCCCCAGCCCAAGTGCATTAGGCGAATTGCGCCATATGGTTTCTAGGTTTTCATCTGAAGCTAGTACTTGACGCCATCCCTCCGGTGAGGTTTGGAGACCTCTTTCTTACTGAAATATAGATGGTTTGGATATCATATGCGACTTACTGCTAGTAACCACATGTCTCTTCTTGCTAGTTTTACCCAGATTTGGATGGGATCCAGCCTTGTGTGAATGGTCAGGGATTATAGAAGACCATGTGCACATATCAACACCTCTTGTGTTTGCTTTGTCGTGATGAGTAGTATGACCTACAGTCAAACCCTTGGCTTGGTCACATTTTTACCATTCTAGTGTCCTTCATCTACCTCTGCATCAGTGAATTGATGACCCACAGATAAAGTCTTATATGATGATATATCATCATATAGAACTTCTTTCCTTTATATTGGAATATAAAGTCATATAAAGTCATGTAAAATGCTGTAATTGATATAAAGTGCCCTGGGTAGACTCACGAGTTCTCTGATGATGGAGTCTGAGTCACTCTATGTTTATGGTATATCATATGTACAAATGAATTGCTGCTTGGTTGTGACTGAGAAGGTTTTGATGCTCTATTGTCCTCATACTGCAACAAGGACTGATCAGGCCCTAAAGACTGCTGCTACAAACAAAAGAGTTGTGCTGACTGTGTGCTGAAGTGGACCCCTGGTGAGGGTTGACCTCATTGGTCTGCCATTCCTGCTGGCTGTTTTAGATGCATGAGTCTTCCAATTTGTGGGACCATGATGGTACATTGCATGCTTAGGTGGTCTTGGGTGTGTGCTGTGGCTTGTTACATGTACTCGGAGCATGTTAAGACTGTGCTCAGGGGTAAGACAGAGTTTGAGGGGCTTGGCTTCAGCTTGTGCGCTGCGCCCCTTACCCAAGTATGTGCCCCTAATTTCAGATTGTAGTCCAACACGAAGTCTACGAGCTCTGACAGGACATTGGAGTGGAGGCTCTCCAAAGGAGAGCCAACAGACTACTGGATGAGTGCAGGAAAGTTGGGCAGAGGTTGGACCTGTGGTGATCAGAGGTGAGCAGATGTGGGACTTTATTGGGCTAGTAGAAGAATAAAATCTCAGTCTCTAGTAAGAACTTGTTACTTGAGTGATGCACCTAGTAGAAGAATAAACTACTGGTCTGTTAGCTTAATGTAAAATAGAAAATAATCAATGGTACTCACATCTGAGTCTTAACAATTGGCTTATTAGTGTAGCATAGGAATTGACACTTTGCAATATGGTGGGTTCAGACCAACATCAAAGCATCATCCTCTCATACCCTTGGTTCTGCTCGCAACTCATTACTCATCTATTGCCTCTGACATCTCTTCTGACATCTCTGATATTCCCGACTTCAACAGGACCACCTGATAGGGGAGAGGTGGAGGACTATTGCAGTTGGAACCAATAGTAGAAGCAGAGAAGATGAGACTGCTCAGGCAAAGTCTGAAGCAGAACAGAAACAAGAGGACAGATGTACGAGAGTACTAGGCTCAAGTCCAAAGGGCGGGAAAGGCAGCTGAGGTGCAGAAATTCAGACGAGTGGAGAGGGTGGCTGATCTAGGGAGTCAATCCCCTATGCCAGCAAACAGAAGTTGACTAGGATTAAGCCCAAGTTAAAGAACAGAAGAGCAGGGCTTAGAAAAGGTAATATTCAGACTGAGGTATCTACTGACAAATGTACATATGTTTATATACTCTAAGTAAGTAGCATAGCATAGCAGGAGGCTATATGCTGAGTGTACAGAATTACAAGAAGGATGACTGATACATATGAGAGGAGGCTCAGAGAACAATATGTACGTGATGGATCAATAATCACTTAGGTATAGGAATTCCTGGTGATATGAAAGGAGAAACTATAGTACCAAAAGGAGGTAGGACCAGTTGAGTGGTTCCTAGTCTAGAAGTGGACCGGTGAGGTGGTTGGGCCGACACAAGGGAAACTGAAGGAACAGAGTAGGTCAGAAAAGTGGAAATGGTGGAGAGAGTAACAGTAGGACTGGGTGGACCAACAGAGTGGAGGAGCGGAGCTCCAGATAGGGTCAGAAGGTAGGGATATAGAGTCAGAGGAAATAGGGGTAGTGTCAGAGGAGTGGCACAGAGTTGGGCAGAGGTAGCAAGGCTAGTCCTGCTGAGATGCACTATGTGCATTGTCAAAGAAGGAGGGATGGAGCAGATGGGGAAACAGAGGGTTGGACCAGCAGTGGGGATGTCTGTGAATGATATTGGAGGTGGTTGAATCTGGTACATGACAGAGCACCAAAGTGCTTGTCGTACAAGGGGAATGATGGGGAGCAGAAATGTAAGTGTGAAGAGCTAGGCAAAAGCACAGGTATGGGGGACCCATGGTGAGTGGCAGGTACAGGTACAGGTCCAGACTTGAGGCACCTGGACCTGAGCCCAGGGTTAACACATCAAGGGACATGTTCAACCACTACCTAAACCTAAATAAGAACTTTACCACTTACTAAACATTACACAACTACAAAAACTCAACTCTCTACATCCTAGTAGCTCAACCTGTTCTTGAACATGTCCAGATGAGTACCAAAATTAATTGAAAAAGTTAGAGCAGCCCTCAAGGATAAGGTCAAGAATGCCCTGATCAAGAAAAGGAAGAACAGCACAAGTGGGGCCAATGCAGCACCCAAACTGTCAAAGAAAGCAAAACCTACCCCACCAAATGGACATGCCAAAGATAGACCAGAGTGAGCCACAGCACCAGCAGCAACCAAGCCCATGTTGCATTGGGTAGTGGTTCAAACTGAAGAGGAGGAGGCCAAAATACATGTGAATATGATTGTGATTGATGATGAAGGCAAAAAGTCATGGGAATCAAGTCCTGAAGTTGAGAGTGTTGATAATAAGCTAAGTACATTGAAATATTTCATTCCAAAACCATCAGTTAATGAAACTATAGAGTGCCTAATGAATGAGTGGGTCTCACTAGTATATGTGCTCTTTAATCCCACACCTTGCATCACTAAAATTGATGGATGCATCAGCAAACTATTATGTTCTATACAGAGCTGGACAGTGGCTGACAGTGCCACAGTGCAACAGCTTGGTCCCAACTGGACAAACACACCCCATCTGTACAGAACCTCCCAGAAGCTCACAATAGCACCTTCAATATGTATATAGTACTGTAGTAATTTTAATACAAGTCAAACATTTGAATGAATTGAAACCAATGAATTGTATTCAATTACTCCACTACATGAATTAAACTACTGTAAACTAAAACTACAGGATATCAAGTGAGATTAGAGTATTTGGGCTGCGAGAAGGTGTGGATGTGTGAGAATGTGTGAGACAGTGCAAAAAAACAATGGAACAAGATGGAATGTGTAAGATGGTGCAAGAAGGTGCACAGAATGTGTGAGTGAGATGGTGCAGATAGTGCAAAAAAAAGAAGATAGCATAAGATAGAAGATAGTGTGAGGTAGTGTTGCTAGGGTTTGGTTAACCATGAACCGGTTCTGGCTTCTACTGGTTATGTCATATTTTCAGTTCAGTTTGGTCACCTAAACTGGTTAAACTGCAGCTAAACCGCCACTTATGTCCTTTCTATCCAAGTTTTGGATTTCAAGCAACTATAAATTGAGACAAATGAGCTTTGTAGTTATACATTGCAGACTACACTACTGCAAGGGCCATCACAAGACTCTGGGTCATAGATGACACTAGGCATGCTATGTGCAAATGAATGGGGACTACATGTAGGCTGGAGTCTTGACACGTGAAGCAAGGCAGGCACTATGTTGAGGAGAGGCTTTATATACTTGTGGTGCTTCATGCACTGCTCATTGTGACTGCCGACTGTTGGGGTTGCTAATTCATAATTCAGTTGTTAAAAGGAACAAGATGATGAAAAAAAACTTACAACTGCAAATGAGTTTCTACACTCCGTGACACAGCCCTTGTCTCATCTGGTTGATGCAACACAGTTGTTTCTGATTTGATTTTAGGAAGCCAGTCTAATAAGGCAGCTTCTGCCTTGGATGAGCTTGGATGAACCTTTTGAACCAGTGCTTGAAGGTAGTTGTAGTCTGGTTTAGCATGGAATGCAAGGCCGTGTAAGTAGTTGAGGATGTGGCAAAACTCACAGGGAAGATCGTGACACAGCTCATCCATATTGAGTTTCATGTTGAGGACTGTGTTGTCAGTCGTAATTTCATGGTCTAACCATGGGAGACATCCATGGACAAGATATATTAATAAATATACGAGTGACTTGAGATCATTGTGTCGTCCCAACTCGAGTCCAAGATGGCTATTGATGGAAGCAAAGGCAGGGGTGCCGATAAAGGAAGTGGTATGTCTGGGCATAACGTGAATATGTGTGTTTGGATCTCTGTACTGCTTGGAGAGGCTAAAATTGATCAGGTAGATGATGTGGGCATTATTTCCGACACCAATCAATACATTCCTGGGCTTCAAATCCCTGTGAATGAAGTTGTGAGTATGAATGTGCTGAAGACGACAAATCTGGACAGCATATACCATTATACGATGTGTGTGAAGGTATTGTTGGAAAGACTCACCAATTGGTCCATAATTAATGCAATAGTACTGAGGCTGAAAGAGCAGCAACAGGAGTTAAATACATCCTCTAGTGAGGGGCCAAGACAATCAAGGATAAGAGCATTGTGTCTGGCCTCATACCCAAACCAATGCACCCTAGGGATACCAGTTATGCCATCAAGCTGACAGAGAACATGGTGTTCATGCTTCAAGACAGAGTGATCAATGCTTTCAGGCTCAATCTTTACTGCAACGTCGCAGCCATATACGAGGTTGCTTGCACAATAGACTTCGCCTTTTGCGAGAGTTAGAGGTGTAGTCCATTGACAATTAGTTTCTAACATACCATATGAGCCCGATCCAACTTTCTCTTTTAGGCCATACCTCCCATCAATGTGAACCAACATCACAACATAAATCTGTTGTGAAAGATGGCAATAAGAATAATGACAATGGGCTTCACAACTAGTGGTTGGTTGAACTTTCAACTTTGATTATGTAAGGGATACACCAAAAGGACAGGCATAAATTACAGTCAACAACATGAGTGACAACAAATAAAACATAAGAGGAGAGTCAGAGATTTGGCAAATCACATCACACTCTAAGTGTCTCACTGATCTAAGCCCATCAACCTTTCTTGGGCCTCTTGCTAGGCTCTTCCTGTGGGAATTGCCCTGCAAGCTCATCTGCTCAGTACTTCAAATTGACATGCCAGTCACAGTACCAGTCAAACCCATCATAAAGCATTCCCTTGCGAACGTGATTCACGACCTTATCCCAGTTGAATAGAGGATCCGGAGGTATCCATTTGCGCATGGCGCTGTTAGTGGATTAGAAGTGAAACACGATCATGATTATGTAGAAAGAGGATATATCACCTCAAATTCTCCTCATCGAGCTCACAATGCTTCTGCACATAACCAGTGATTTTGTCACATATGAGTTTCATGGCTTGGTGGAACACTGAATTGAGATGTGCAATCTCAGCGGAGTCCCTGGTTGGACAAATCTCCTGTTAAGGCTCAGCATTTAATTTTTTTTAAAATAAAAAAGAGTAGCAAGGACTTACCACGCACACATAATAGGAACTGCTGTTCATTTTATCGAGAGAGAACTCTCTATCTGGGTGACAGAGCCAGGTCTTGACCTTGATGGTCAGGGGACTGGCCCACTGATGTGGTACTGAGGACATAACTGGCCCAAAGGCTGGATTATCCGACACAACCTTCCACTCCTTCAATGTTAACCAAATTCGCCCCTCCATTGTGATTGTCAAATCCGATATATCCTTCGGCATCTTGTGAGGCTGGGACTTGCAGGTGTCAATGATGGTGATTACTTGGACATCCTTGCACTCCATTGCATAACGACAGATGCTAGACATCACTTCATCTTTTGCCCATGAAAAGCTGACTTCCATTATCCACAAGGGGACGCTGCCACCCAGTCCATCCATCTTGAAAAGAAGGTCGGGCATGCCCAGCTTCTTTGCCATAACAGTAAGTAGCGATGACATATGTATAGGGAAGATAAGATCCCAAAGCGCGTTGATGGGCATTGATTCAATTGCACATTCAGTGACCCTGGTCATTGGGGGTAGAAAACTAGTGTGCGTGCGTGATGGCAGTTTGTAAGCAGTGAAGCATTTGAGATCTGGAATGTATGCTGGTCTGAGAGTGGTAAATATTATTAATCAATAGCTGTGTGTAAGCCACTGTAAGGCATTACCCACTTGCAAATAAGTTCCTCAGTTTCTGCAATAGTGCTCATCACATGATCATAATTGTCTTGTGACACATGTGAGAACCACTGTGGTGGAGTGAGTCAGAGTCTCAGAGATTACAAGTGGCTCATGGATCTTACAATGTCTGTCTCTGTGTTGCCCCTGTCAGTGACTGTGAGGGCAGCAATAATTTGCTTGTATAATTCTGTTGCAACTTAGCAAAGAATATGATACAAAAGGCAGCAGAAAACTCATGATCTTTAGTCAGGGGATCACTTGGAGATAGTGCTGATGAGAAACCAAGTTTGGTCTCAAATTTCGAGACTAAAGGGGCTTCCATTGACATGGAAACTACAGTGGTAGTTTTCTGTGAACTGGCAATTGAAGGGCAGTCCTTCAGAGGATTTGCAGGTGCTGAGTGCCTTTTGACAATAGGCTGAGGTTTGTGGAGTGAAGACAGTCCCTAGGGGAGAGCTCCATGCATGAGCAGCATGGGTGTAAAAAGGCAGCTTGCCAGGACCACAAAGTGGTCCTGGCTTCAAGAGATAAGGATCAGCCATCTTTCAGCTTGTCTCTTTGTAGGGTTTGAACTTTGAAGGCGAAGGCTAGCTAGCCTCCACCAGTATCGTGTGTCACACATTGTTCTCATATTTATGCAACAGCATGCTAAAACATAATATACACGTAGGATATAAGGTCAGAATTCATGAACAAGACTAATGAGCTATGTGTTGTGGAAGTTCAACAAGTTCAACAGCATCTGCAACTCCATCACCCTCCTCTTGCATTATCATGCTGAGTATGTGGTCAAGAGGGTCGTGTTGACCAGACATGTCATGAGTGCCAGGTTCATTGGGTTCATCTTCAAGAAGAAGTTTCTGGGATGTTACCCAGCCACACATAAAATTGAGGTGTTCTTTTTTGAGATGAAACTTGAGCATTTGGAGCACCTCTATGAGACGTGGACTGATATGATTGCGCCTCTTTGTGTCAGTTTCCACACTAGAAGAAAATATGTGTTCACAGGGAACAGCAGAGGCCTGAATTGCTAGATAGTCCATCACCATCTGGAATATGGTTGGGTACTCCATCCTCTTCATCTAGGAGTGACAAGTCAGTGAGTGTACATGTAAATTGAATGTTGAAAAGTGTACCTCCCAGAACCTGAGGGGATCCAAACCATCCTCAAAGAGATCACTGGTGATATACAATTGGTACTCCTGTTCAACTGTTTGAGGTCTGTTTTTGGGCTGGCATCTCAACCCCAAATCCCTGAGTCCATAGTGTAATGCAAGGGTGTTGATTGAATGTGTGCCGTGTGGAGGTACACCCTGCTGTTCCAGAGTTTGAGGTAGTTTTGTCTCGTGATAGTGCTTCATCTAGACAATCTGTAGGTCAGTGGTGTACTTGATGAGGATTCTATTATCCTACGAGTTCAACAATCTTTTCCTCCGCATCCTTATCCATGTCTTCTTCCAATAAGCCTTAACAAAACCCACTCGTATTGATGGGTCAACAACTTTGTGGAATATGGGCATGAGGAGTCAATCTATTGTGACTCGCAAATGAACTAAGTGAACTTACACATTGCAACAACATAAGCATGTGTATTATCCATACACTTATAATATTTCTTAGCCAACTCTAGGCCAACATCAATGAAAGGTTTGAGGCGAGGGGTCCCTTCAGCTTTATTCTCCCATGCTGTCATGAACAACTCCAAGTGTAGTACAGCATTGCCTAGCCTAGGACAGCTCTCACTAGACATACTCTGTTGAACCCCATGAGGTATCTGCATGGAGTAAAACCAACTAATTTGAACACTAGGACCAGTATGAATACTTCTAGAATGGCCTCAAAGTCACGGAGGACGAACCATTCCATAGCATTCATCTTGTGTTGTGCAATATCCTGCTGATCCAGGGAGGAAAGAAAGTAATCTATAGCCTGCCATAGAGATTGTGAGAAATGGACTTGAATCACGATGATTATATATATATAAAAAACACCACACCCATTGCCCATAAATGATTGATCATGAAATATATGGAGTCCCATTGTATTGCAACGTCCCGCAGGAGCTGGTACTCTGGTACCTGGATGACTTTACCCTGAAATTTGAACAAACTGCTGGAATTACAAGTCCTGATGATGTGCATGAATTCATCACGCTGCAGACCAGATGCATGGATAGCTTTGACAGTCTGGCGACCGAGTGCAATTGGATCATTGCTGAGAGCCTCCAAGTACTCATCAATATCAACATCACCGTTGTCTGCAAATGCACCAACAAAAGTGTCTGCAAGATCAGCAAGGTTGATGCCGGAGAATGTGGCGAGGATGTGTTTGACGCAGATATTGATGATGTGAGGAAAACACATAATCCTACAATCCTGTGCATCAAACTCGATATCGTGTTCTCTCAACAAATGCTCAAGTTCCTGCATCATTGTGGCATTATTCTCTGCATTATCAAGAGTGATGTGTCCTATCTAGAAAGTACCAACATCACTCCTTGTGAGTGTGACATCCATGGCTCATTGATCAAACACGTACTTTCACAGTGATGCCTGCCCAATTGAGCAGGAATAGGACAGTTCGTGCAAGGGATCTACTGGTGTGACTACCTTTAATCCAATGAAATGTGATCAATGCTGCTTTGAGTTCCAAGCGGTTCTCGATCTCGGCTATCCAATGTGCAGTCATGGCAAGAAACAGTTTACGACCACCATCTGACCAAATATCAGCTGGTGATTGAGATGTCTCCAAGCACATGCTAGACCAAAGTGAGAAAGTTAGTTAGTTGAACTGTTAAAGTGAACAGGTGTATTTATAAATCTGTAGTATGTGCCTCCAAGTCTTCTTTCAGCATAGCAAAATGGTCTTTCCAGGCCTCTATAATCTGCTCCTGCAGCCTGGTGTGGTGAGGTATGTCTTGTTCTTGGAGATCCTCCCTGGAGTAGGAGAAGAAGCCAGTCTGAACTCAACACATTCAACAAGATTTATGGCCTGTTTAAGGAAATAAGATATGAAATATGTGTAAGTAAACCCCACTCACCTGACCATCCACAACAATGAATGAGAGAAGAAATTGATGAAAAGTCGGCACTGAAAATTCGGGTATTGAATCTTGGTTTCCTGGTGTGGGTACAACAAGTGCAGCAGCGAGAAATTGATCTACTACACAGTTGGGTCTTTGCTGCCTGCTGCCTCGCTTGAGAACAAGCACATTCGACCCTTAAGGGGATTGCTACTGGGGAGCACTAGTCTCTGTCTAAATGACCCTAATCAACCCTACTGCAAGTAGGATGAGGATCCGCAAAAATGCGGAACAAGCAGAACAAGCGGAACTCACGCGGAACAAGCGGAACCCAAGCAGAACTCAAGTGGAATGGAAAGGAATGAAACGGAACTCAAATGGATAAAGCGCAGAACATACTGATTCGTCAGAACTCGCAGGCAAAGTTGAAGGAAGTATATCACAAGGTTAGATTGATAGTGGGCATAAGTCAAAGCAGTCCTCTAGTAAGGTGAAGGGAAAGTGGGAAGGTAAAAGATGGGATTCAATAATAAACCCCAAGCCCTGAGTACCACTACTTAAAGGGAAGATTATTTTCAAGGAACACTGAGGTACAGGTAGTAAGTTCTCAGGAAGTGGAAGTGAAGGCAGGCAGTGCACAAGGGCGCAATACTCCGGAATAGGGGTCCGTGCCATAAGGGCATGTGTCAATTTGATCCGGATAATGTTAGGAACAACAGGAAGAGAGATACAGCGTACCAATGGACCTGGAAGGATGGGGACAGGACATGCAAAGGTTGTCCGATGATGCATGGGAATATTGGATAGTGCAGGCGGGTTCCGAAGGATGCGCGGGAATGCAGAACCCATCAGACAATGCACGGGAAACGCGGAATGTGCAGAATATGCGGAACTGATGTGAGATGATGTGGAAAGGACAGAGTTTTATGCCTACAGTGGGAGAATTCCCTACACCGGCTTAGATGCAGCATTCGCATTTTGATGACCAGGAAGCAAAGCCAAATCACCTCCCTTCTCAATGTGGGTCTTCATCTCTTCAATTGAGTGTCCTTGACTTTGTAACAATTTGACCTCTTTCAACACAATTGGCCATGAATTTTTGAGGGCCTGCATTAAGTACTCCAGCAAGTGCCACTTGTAAATATGAGGGTGTAGCAATGAATTTCCCATAGTAGTTGCATATGTGAAGTTACATTTTGTGGATGATGGGCCATATAAAACATCCCATGCTGCCACATCTTTTGCACATGTCAATTTGGTGAAAGGTCTTTTAAGCCACAGCAATGCTATGTGGATGGTTGTGTAATGGATAACCTTACCTGCAGTGGTCACAAATTGTATTGGCTATTTCCCGCTTGAAGAAGTGCTCAATATCTTCCGCTGATGAAGAGTGAGATCGACTGGTGTGGTTTACTGTGTCGAGGAGAGGGTTGTTTTCAATCACAGGGGGGTCAACGGGTGCACAGACTTGGGTGCAAGCACGCAGTGGGACACTTTCTTCTTCTTCATCAGCAGAGATGTCTTGTAAATCAAATTCCTTGTCAGGCGCATCTTCAATGGTGGCTGCATGAGTGTGGGGGCATCCATGGGCACCACATGTGGGGGGTGCAGGTGGTGCAGGAGCAGGCTGGCCCCAGCAGCGAGGTTTTGCAGCATTCTCCATATGGTTTTATGGTGCCACCATGGTGAGAAGCTGAGAGTGGGAGAGTTGAAAAGTAGCTACAATATATCTGAAGGATGAGCACAGCAATGGTGGTATGTCACAGCAGCCGCTAATAGGATGAAAGGTGCGGAAATTACTTACATCATACACAACACACCCTGCCACATAAGAAACTGAGCAGTCGAGGGCAGTCATTCAGAGGATTTGCACGTGCTGAGCGCTGTGTATGAATAGCAGGAAGTGCATGGATTAATTCATTTTAAGGGTTTGTAAGCCACTGACCATATACATAACTCAGACAAATGGTTATGTCGATAGTGCAAGACAATGTTTTAGCATGCCAGTGGTTGACCAGCTTGAGTGGGGCGAAGGTCGTTATCGAGCAAGGTCAGTGCTGCACTACACTGTGGTTGCATGTGGCCTTGGAGGCAGTACCAGAGTGGGAGATCATGGAAGAAGCGTCAGCCTGGCGAAGGTGGCGGTTGGACATTCATGAAAGGCATAGACTGCAATGCTGCATAGGTCATGGCTGAATGTGGTAGGGTGGCAACAGGATATTTACCTAAAGGTCAAAAGAGGAAGTACCTACTGATGGTGGCGCATGACAAACTGTTGGTTTCATGTATCAGTGTTTGTGTGATAGTGTTGCATTCGATACATCAGAACCACATCACTTGGTGGCAGCGCTGCACTAAGACAAGTTTTAGGCAGATGAGAATCACAGACTGCACATTAAGAACAAGGTAATAAGGTACATAGTCAAGCCCTGAAGCCCATCATAATTTGAGTCATAGCACAGTCTATGTAGTAATACCACTGGAGCATCGTTCACTCATCCTCTGACTCATTATCAATGTCATCACTGCCTGATGCTCACTATTCAATAGATCATCTGCGCAAGGTGTGTACTGCTTTAATTCCGAAATGGGCTATGACGCTGCCATGTACTCTAGTGATGAGGCAAAGACCAGCACCCAGTGTTGGCGATGAAGATGTGATTGTAGACTGTTTTGATGAGCTGTTATGATCTCCTGAATCTGATTTACATACAAATAGTTGAAATGTACTTGTAGTGCACTGCAGAATGTGTTTGAAATGATTATAATCAGACAGCAACCCACAAACCCAAAATGAATTGATCCATGCACTTCTCGCCATTTGTAGCTATGACTTAGTGTACTGTATACAACGCAAGTGCAGTACGTACTACCACGGCAGATCAAGGGTAACTCGACACCATCTACACAAGTTCTACAGTAATCAACCTCTCATTGGCCTTTTTCTGGACCCGCCCTGCAGGAGTTGCTCCCGAAGTTTGTCTGCTCAGTGCTTCAGATCCTCATGCCAGTCACTGTTAGTTGACTGGAAGTGAGATGTAATTATGTAGAAAGAGGATATCTTTACATGATATTCTCCTTGTCAAGCTCACAATGCTCCTGCATGTAACCGGTGGTTTTGTCACATATGAATTTCATGGCTTGGTGGAACACTGAATCGAGATGGGCGATCTCAGTGGAGTCCCTGGTCGGACAAATTTCCTGTCAAGGTTCAGCATTTAATTTAAAAAGAGTAGTAAGGACTTACCGTGCACACATAATAGGAACTGCTGTTCATTTTGTTGAGAGAGAACTCTCCATTTGGGTGATGGAGCCAGGCCTAGACCTTGATGGTCAAGGGCATGACCCAGGGATGTGGTGCCAAGGACATAACTGACCCAAAGGCTGGATTGTCCGACATAACCTTCCACTCCCTCTTCATCAACACATCTTGCCCCTTCATCACGATTGCCAACTCCGATGTATCCTTTGGCCTCCTGTATGGCCGCGACTCACAGATGTCAATCATGGTGATTATTTGCGCGGTCTCACATTTCTTAGCAAACCTTTGGACTCTCTTCATGAGGTCCTTGTCTGTCTGCGAAAAGCTGACCTCTAATATCCACAAGGCGGTGTTGTCACCCAGTCCATCCACCTCGAGAAGAAGGTCTGGTACACCCAGCTTCGCATTTGGGACTCTGATCTTTGTAGACATATGGGTGGAAAAAGTAAGATCCCATAGATCGCTGATTGGCAGTGACTCCATCGCATGGTCAATGACCGTGTGGATCAGAGGTAGAAAACTCTCGTGGGTTCTGATCAAGGCTAGGCATGAAGCTTCAGTGAAAATTGGACCTACTGGAATCAACCCTGCAGGTGTACCAAAATGGCAGTTCTATTTTTGTCATAGACCCAAACATACCAAAATCTAAAACATGCAAGGCATACAAATCAATCTGACTTTACACTTCCAAGTGCAACAAGCAAACTACAATGCAAATTCATAAAATCTTCACATCCTTTGCATCTTATGAGCTCATGAGATACGATGTGGAGTGCACATTATAATTTGTGAGTAGATAGATTACTTCACACACTACAAATACTGACTTATTCTTCTGGTAGGTTGTGGGGATATGGACACACTGCAATGCTACAAACATCATGAAGCCCTCTGGTGGGTGTATCTACTAGGGACTATAGTAGCAGCAAGAGGGGGTACTTTTTGATATTGTTAAGACCATGCTTAGGGGTAAGGCTGAGTCTGAGGGGCTTGGCTTCAGCTCATACGCTGCGCCCCTTACCCAAGTATGTGCCCCTAATTTTGGAATGTAGTCTGACACAAATTCTATGGGTTCTGACAGGACGTTGGAATGGGGGTCCTCTGAAGGAGGACCGACGGACTACTAGGTGAGTGCAGGAAAGTCGTGCGGAGGTTGTTCCACCTGACAGGAGGGAGGTGGGAGACTATTGCAGTTGGAACCAACAGTAGAAGCGGAGCGGAAGGAACTGCTTGGATGAAGTCCGAAGCAGTGCGGAATGGAGGGGACGGATGCGAGAGTGCGGGGTCTAGTTCCGACGCACGGGAAGTCGAAAGAGCGGAGGAACAGGGGAACGGAGGAGCGGAGGATCAGAGGATGGCTGACCTAGGGAGTCAATCCCCTAGGCCGGCTTTTTAACAGGAGTTGACTAGGATCAGGCCCAAGTCAGAGAACAGAAGAGCAGGGCTTAGAAAAGGTAATATTCAGACTGACTATCTACAGACAAATGTACATATGTTTATATACTCTAAGTGATGAGCATAGCATAGCAGAAGGCTATGTGCTGAGTGTACAGGAATACAATAGGATGACTGAGACATATGAGAATAAGGCTCAGGGAACAGTATGTATGCGACGGATCAGAATCGCTAGGGTATAGGGATTACCGGTGATCCGAAAAGCGGAACTATGATACTAAATGGAGATAGGACCAGTTGAGTGGTTCCTAGTCTAGGAGTGGACCGGTGAGGCGGTCGGATGGACTAATAGTTGGGTGGGGGAATACGAGTGGAACTGAAGGACCCCCATGGGTCAGAAAAGCGGAGGGAGTAGGAGCGGGATTGGGCAGACTGATAGGGTGGAGGAGTGGAACCCCAGATAGGGTTGGGTGGAAGGGGTATGGGGTCAGGGGACATAGGGGTAGTGTTGGAAAAGCGGAACGGGGTCGGGTGGAGGTAGCAGGGCTAATCCTGCTGAGATGCACTTCGTGCATTGTTGGGGAAGGAGGAATGGAGCGGACAGGGAAACAGGGGGTCGGACCAGGGGTAGGGATGCTTATTGGTGGTACTGGGGGTACTTGGATCCGGTATATGACACATATCCATATCGCATTTTTTTTGCATGTACCTGCTCTCGTCAAAATGCATAGTTTTTAGTATATCTGGTCAGTAAGAGGAGAATGATTGGTTCATCTACTGAAATCTAGGTACAGCAAAGTGACGCAAACTCACATCATCCTAGTGGATTACATATTCTAATCATAGCGGCACTGTGCACCCATCCCCGACTCGATTCTGTTATTGTATTCTCTACATCTGTTGATAATCTTAGGGATCCGCACAGGTAAACCCCCGGGTGTCCAGACCTCTACCCATACCCATGTACCCAAGGGTACCAGCGGGTACAGGTCTTTGCACAGGTATGCTAATATAATCCTGGAGAAGGTTAGTATACAATAGATGAACAAAGACGTGTGATACACACAAGATGAGGTCCTCATATTGCCAGGATGAGTGGGTACCAGCGACTTGGAGGACAAAAATACCATCATCCTTGAGAAGGTCATACATCTGACACATAAATGCACCGTAATGCCTGATTCCAACATGCTATGGGGGTAGACATTAAGCAAGCACTGACAATAAAAAAATCACCTGTCGCTTACCTCGGCCATTTCGAGGCTGACAATCTTGGTGAAGTGACCGGGACCACCTGGAATTTCCCTGCAGTTCATGCAAAGGATACATGCCTTGTCAGGAGTGATGTTGTTGGTCTTGATGCATTCATTGCCAAACTTGGTCTGGTTCTTGCTGAGGGTGATACCTATGATGTCGCAGCCATGGTTTTTAGCTGCATAGGTGGCAAGGGTACCCCAGCCGCAGCCTACATTGAGGAGATGATCTTCGGGCTTAAGGTCAAGTTTAGAGCAGATGAGACAGAGTTTGTTGTCCTGAAGTTCTTCAAGGGAGGATGCATCCTCGTTAGCATTTGTGATGACACCAGAGGTGTAGATCATGTGGTGCCCAAGGAACCTGATATATATGAGGATGGGGAGGGAATTGAATTTGCGTGGAATATGTACCATTGATAGAATGGCAAATGCGCACTCATTGGTGTCATGTCCAGCATCGCTTTGAGATCGAGGTGATTGATGAGCTGTGCAAGATCGTTCATCACTGCATCCAGAAGCCCCTGCCACTCTTCTTTGTGCTGGATGAAGTTTGAACGGTGAGTATGGGGTGGTTGGTGTGTGTGTTCTTGCCAGAATGGTCTTTGGTGCGTGTGGGTGGGTGTGTGGGTGTGAGTGTTTCAGGAGGGGAGAGAATGGGTTACTGTTGGTGTTTTCCGTAGCATTGGGGTCTGAGTCGGATGCGGGTTGCTGAGGCTGGTGCTGGTGAGTGGCATAAGGACCAGTGGGCTGAGTACTTTTGACGAATCTTGCTAGCACCCTTGATGTAGAGACGATACCCATGTGCATGCCTACACACATAGCCTTCCTGACACTAGAAAACGGTATCATTTGAATGATTTCTGCGGCGTCACCATCTCCTTGTAGTTCGGCCATCTGAGTTCAAAGTGAAAGCAAGAGTCTGAATTGAGGCAGACATGAGAGGGAGGCAAAGGGATCTCAACTGTTTTGACAAATATTCACTTGAGGACAGTGGTCTCATAACAAAGTTGTGGAGAGGGACTCAGTAATAGCTGAAGGAGGAATGATATCCGAAAGTGTCAGCTGCCATGTCCAGGATTGTTATGCCCAATGAACTGCACTGGTGTTGTGGATACAGTCTTGGCATATGGACGAAGGGAACTGACACTTGCAGCACTTGCACAGAGGAGTCTTTATGTGGCTGGGGCATGCAATAATTCGTGGGGCTGCCAGTTTCAGAAGGGGGAACAAGCACCTGCTCATATCATTGAGATGAGATCGAAGTGATTAATGAGCTGTGTGATGCTGAGTCCAGGATTGATATCACTATGTTCTAAAAAAAATGGGTCTGCATGAGGTGAATAATCAATTTGCTAGACACAAGTGCCTCAACGCACTGTTTTTGACCTCATATGCAGCCTTGGACCTGCTACACCTCAGAAACATTTCACTCATTGGTTGCAGATGCGCCTGTTTGATAGGCATCTCAGGATCGCTCCAGCATTGGTGAGCACTGAGGGTGGGGGCAGATTAGAGGAGGGTGGGGAGATTGGCTAGCAGTATGGTATATAGACATCCGTGCTTCAAGAACATCCTGGTGACAAAATATTAGCGACATTTTAATCTACCATGAGCTTAACTCATTCCTCAAATGTGGAGAACAATACTCACCTCCTTGCCCTCAGGCAATATGGCCTTAACCCCCTGCAAGAAGTCCCGAGCACCTCCCTCAACCAAGTTGAATGTGAATTGATATGCCAGAAGTCTGTCCTTTGGAATGAGAGATGTCAGGAAGGGAGTGACAAGCGACAGTTTATTGAGGGTGACAAGCAGCCAAGCAAGGGTGTGAATGTGTGGGGACTTTGAAAGTGATGTAGGAGGAGGGAAGAGTGGTAGAAGGGAGCTGAGAACTTGGTCATGGTAGGAGAGGGAGAAGCCAGTATTCAACATGGCTTCCATTGTGTACGAGAGAAGAGAGATGTTATGCATCAAGCCATATATACAGTGCAAAATGTTGAGATGACAAGATTCCAATGCAATGTCAATTGCCTGTTCACAAACTGTTGGCTCAGAGCATGTAGCATCAAGGATAACACCACACATACTACAGTGACCTAACTCCGTATTATACGAGTGAATGGACGTACATAATATCCCGTATAAGATGGGCCAGCGGACCATGGGCCAATGTTATGAATATCCTCGAAGATGATGGATGGGCCGGTGTGGGTACAACAAGTGCAGTGGAGAGAAGTCAATCTACTACACAGTTGGGTCTTTGCTGCCTGCTGCCTCACTTGGGAACAAGTGTGTTCGACCCTTAAGGGGATTGCTACTGGGGAATACTAGTCTCTGTCTAAAACAACCCTATAGGATGAAAGATCTGCAAAAGCGGATGAAACGGATAGGATGCAAAACGTACGGATTCGTCGGATGGAGCGGATGGCACTTGTGGATCAGACAGGATGCGAATCAAAGTCAAAGGAAGTTCATTAAAGGTTGGATGGATAGTGGGTATAAGTCAAAGCGACCTTCTGGTAAGGTGCAGGAAAAGTGGGAGGAAGTTACATGAAGTAAGTATTTTTCGAAACCCTCCATGCTTATAGGGTACAGTATTTTCAAGGAACATAGATACATAGGTAGCGAGTCTAGACCGTGCCATAAGCTATCCGAAAAATACTGGAGTGTGAGAGGATATGTCTGTGTTCAGTCAGTAACAAGAAAATGCGTGTGAGTACGTACCAATGAGGTAGAATGGACGTGGACAGGACAGATGCGGCGGATGCGCGAGCTATAGGGGGAGATCCGAAGGTATCCGCATGTCGTCTGAAAAGCGGATGGGTATCGGATGGAATGGATAGGTGTCGGATGGACGTCAGATGGATGCCTGATGCATCGGAAAAGTGGTGGATACAAGCCTAGCGTAGGGATACTCCCTACACCGGGAGTGATATCATTCCCAATGGAGGTGGGTGGGCCCATGTCAGGAATAAGTAAGGTAGATGAGTGGGCTGATGTACATGAGTATTATATAGACAGATGGGCCAAGGTAGTTGGATATTATGTAGATGCATATACCAAGGTAGATGGGTATCACTTAGACAGGTAGGGCCAAGGGTAATTGTTATCATATACATGGGTGGGCCCAGACACATATCATGTTGATGGGTGGGCCGAGCCGAGGGTGTTGTATGATATACACGGGTGGGACTATCAAGTGCCATGCTAAGCTCCAACTACTGAAATTTGAATGAACCAAGCATCATGTACCAAGTTCTGGGACCCGGGTCTCAACACTGGAATATTTGGTATCTAGCACCCTTCCAATTATCTGGTATTTCATTGACATACTAACATTGCAATGAATGATAATCCATCTTAGAAAGCTGAGTTTCAACTACCGAAATTTGACTGAACCAAGCATCATGTACCGATGTGGGTACAACAAGTGCAGCGGAGAGAAATTGATCTACTACAAAGTTGGGTCTTTGCTGCCTGCTGCCTCACTTGAGAACAAGCACGTTCAACCCTGAAGGGGATTGCTACTGGGGAGTGCTAATCTCTGTCTAAGCGACCCTAATCAACCCTACCGCAGGTAGGATGAGGATCTGCAAAAATGCGGAACAAGCAGAACCCGAGCGGAACTCAAGCGGAATGGAAAGGAATGGAACAGAACTCAAACGGATAAAGCACAGAACGTACTGATTCGTCAGAACTCGCAGGCGAAGTTGAAGGAAGTATATCACAAGGTTAGATTGATAGTGGGCATAAGTCAAAGCAGTCCTCTAGTCAGGTGAAGGGAAAGTGGGAAGGTAAAAGATGGGATTCAATAAAATACCCCCAAGCCCTGAGTACCACTACTTAAAGGGAAGATTATTTTTAAGGAACACTGAGGTACAGGTAGTAAGTCTCTCAGGAAGCGGAAGTGAAGGCAGGCAGTGCACATGGGCACAATACTCCGGAATAGGGGTCCGTGCCATAAGGGCATGTGTCAATTTGATCCGGATAATGTTAGGAACAATGGGAAGAGAGATACAGCATACCAATGGACCTGGAAGGATGGGTACAGGACATGCGAAGGTTGTCCGATGATGCGCAGGAATATTGGATAGTGCAGGTGGGTTCTGAAGGATGCGCAGGAATGCGGAACCCATTGGACGATGCGCAGGAAACGCGGAACGTGCAGAATATGCGGAACTGATGTGAGACGATGTGGAAAGGACGGGGTTTTACACCTACAGTGGGGGAATTCCCCACACCGAGTTCTGGGACCCGGGTCTCAACACTGGAAGATTTGATATCTAGCACCCTTCCAATTATCTGGTATTTCATTGACATACTAACATTGCAATGAATGATAATCTGTCTTTGAAAGCTGAGTTCCAACTACCAAAATTTGAATGAACCGAGCATCATGTACCGAGTTCTGGGACCCGGGTCTCGGCACTCAAATATTTGATATCTAGCCCCCTTCCAATTATCCGGTATTTCATTGACATTAGTATAGCAATGAAATGACAATCCATCTTTGAAAGCTAAAATCAAGGTTCCCTATCTAATCCACCCTATCTCCACCACCTTTGAAGTCTGTGGACATCTGGTATGGACCATCTGATTTCCCAAGATCAACACCATCATGAATGTATCTTCCACCTCCGATATTGAAATAACCTTCTGGTGCACTTGGGCCTTGACTATCACTCATGAGGCATGTGAATATACTGAACAGAAATTCATTGCTGAGAAAACAGGAGGAGACCCAGTCATACCTTCTCCTAAGCTAGACACCGATCTGGTGATGGCTTGTGATCAATTGGTGGATTGCCTCATAAAGGCATATAACAATCCCAGTGGGTCTTCCTGCAGATTCAAACAGTCCATTTGATCATTCAAATTGCTTCACAGTTCGGATGCAGATTGATATTGTAAGATACAGCAAAATGATCTCCCCGAAGGACACTGGACATAATGAAGAAAGAGAGGCAAAGTTGCTTGAGAGGTGTCCTCCTGGCCATGAAGGTACAAAGTTGGTTGACATACCCGCCACAGTTCTCGATGCTACTGGTGCCATCATTGCGTGGTACCTACCGGATGCCCTGACGGAAACCACCCAGGTGGGTAATATATGTTGTTGCTCGATGTATATGGAATATGAAATGGGAACTCCAGAAGGAAATTCTGGCAGCCTCCGAGTTGCTCAGTCCGAGCCTTGCAAAAAGTGTAAAGGTTGATGGGAGTTGGCGAACTAATCAGGATTGGTTCAAACCAAGCTCGGAAAATGATGGCATATCTCCTGGATGCATCAATCTATCTCTGGCTTGGTTTCAACAGAGGCACGAGGTGGGATCTCATGAGATGGTGATTTTCGATAGTTAAACTGACCAATCCGGTAGAATCTGTCGGACCTGGCGGTATCTGCCTCATTGAAGGGACCATTCTCCAAGAATATTCTCAAAGCCATTGCCAGGCCGGCAGCCATCGCATCAGCCGCACTCAGGGTGATGCATCCTGAGCAGTACTGGGCAGGGATACAAGCCTTTTTAAGCCTCGGACAATCAGCTGAAAGGAAGAATCTTCCGAGGATGTCAGAGACCCTCCAGTACTGGGCATCTGTGTTTAACACCCTCACTGTCATTTCCAATTGGCAAACCCCCAATCATCGAGATCACATATCCATTCCTGAATGCTTTGATATTCTCACCACCATGGGTAATTATTTGAATGCTCACATGAGTATGCCAAGTCTTCAGCTGGAGTTCATGTATGAGCCCGGCTGTATGATCGTGTTTTCAGGAAGGATCGTAAGACATGGGGTTCATGAAGTGGAAGGGGATTGAATTGCTTGGGCATGGTACATGAGGGATTCTGTTCATATTTATGCTGAGGTTCCCTCATGTGGATGGGCTAGGATGGACGTGTACATACTCCATCCTGGCAAGGATAGAACAGGCAAATAGCTTAGTACCCATGTGATAGTACCTACTGTCGAATACCAATTACCAATGTTCGAGTGCCAATGATCAAGCACCAAACAGACAAATGTTCGACATTTAATACCTGGAACTGTGTCTGCGTGCCTCATGTGGCTCTCAATGTCCCCATGCCAGACCTCCATTCCATGGCAATGAGTATTTGCGATAGGGTCGGACGCATCAAGGTTCTTGAGGATCTTGTTGCCAAGCAGGGCAGACATATCAATACCCTCAGCAGGCTCCATGAGAGCCTTCGATGCAAAACCATGGAACACCATCCCTTATTTCCCCTTCCCACTACTCCGGCAATTGCAATGTCTTTGTTGCTTGATCAATCCATCACTGGAACAATGTCACCCTCCCAATCCACACTCCCTCCTCTCATCAATCTTTCAATCGCAGTGATGGAGCCCACACCCTCGAAAATTGAGGATCCCTCTGCCATCGACAGTCTCACATTTGAGCCGAGCCAAGTTCAACCAGCCCCAGACCCATCACCTACTCCCCCAACTGCCAGAGACATTTTGGTGCTGGATGATCCACACAACCTTGTCCCGGAATACGATTCTGCTGATGACATGGATGTTGAGGTCAAGGTTGAAGTTGAAGGTGGTGATGAGGGTCATCTGGGCAAGGTTGAAATGTCTACATAATTTAGTAGTTAGATTTCTGTAAATGTTGTTGAAATGCATTGTACCTCTGGCATGCCCAAAGAATGAAATCATCGAGTTCTGGGTAACTAATACTGACGTCCAGGTAACATCTATCAATGTCTGAGTAACTAATATTGAGTTCCGGGTATTTCGTAAATTGAACAAATCACCAAGTACCAAGTACTGAGTACTGAGTTCCAGGCACCAAGTACCGAGTTCCGAGTTCCAGGCATCAAGTGCCAAGTACCGAGTTCTGGGCACCGAGTTCCGGGCATTGAGCACCAAAACAGTGCTGGGTTTCAGCACTCAGTACTCTATGCCTGGAACTTGATGCCTGGAACTCAGTACTTGGCACTCAATGCCTGGAACTCAGAACTCGGTACTTGGTGATTTGTTCAATTTATGAAATGTTGTATTTTAGTTTCGTGTTTCGGTGCTCAATGCCTGGAACTCGGTGCCCAGAACTCAGTACTTGGTGATTTGTTCAATTTACGAAATGTTGTATTTTAGTTTCATGTTTTGGTGCTCAATGCCCGGAACTCGGTGCCCAGAACTCAGAACTCAGTACTCGGTACTTGGCACTCGACGCCCGGAACTTGGTACTCAGTACTTGGTGATTTGTGCAATTTACAAAATGTTGTATTTTAGTTTCATGTTTTGGTGCTCGATGCCCGGAACTCGGTGCCCGGAACTCGGTACTCGATACTTGGTGATTTGTCCAATTTCCGAAATACCTGGAACTTGATATCAGTTACCCAGATGTCGATATTAGTTACCCGGAACTCGGTACTCGGTATTAGGTACTTGGTGATTTGTCTAATTTACGAAATGTTGTATTTAGGGTTTTGTGTTTCTCATTTCGGTGGTTGATGATAGGTGTATGCACTCATACAGTGGGTATGTACTGGTGCCTACATCAGCACACTGATTAGTATGTTATCCAACTATTTCAGCCCACTGATGTTTATAACACTCATTCTTCTGGGCCCACCCGTCTATATGATATCAACCATCTTGGCCCACCCGTCTATATAATATACTACTACCTCGGCCCATACATCTATATGATACGTATCTGGGCCCACCTGTATATGTAATATCCAACTACCTCGGCCCACCTGTCTATATAATATCTAATAAATTGCTCTCTTGGCCCACCCATTTATATGATAACAATTACCTCGGCCCACCCGTCTACATGATATACCCCCTAAGTTGGCCCACCCATCTATATAATATACTACTACCTTGGCCCACCCATCTATATGATATATAATAAACTGCTCCTTCGGCCCACCTGTCTAGATAATAATGTCACTACATCGGCTCACCCGTATTCATTGGTAATAATATCCCTCCTGGCCCATCCATTAACATCGAGGATATCTTCATCATCGGCCCATGGTCCGCTGGCCTGTGTTATACGGGATATTATGCACATCAGTTGCCTCGTATAATATGGAGTTTGTCACTGAAGGGGCTCAACACCAGAGGTGTAGATCATGCAGGTGCTGGATGGCTGGGAGGGCACATTTGGGCACGATTGGGTGAGGAAAAGGTGCTGGTGGGTGCTGGATGGCTGGAACAGCACATTTTGGCACGTTCAGGGTGAAGTGGGTGAGGGGAAGGTGCTGGTAGGTGCTGGAAGGCCAGAGCGGCATGTTTGGACACATTTTGGGTGCTGGTGTGCTGGATGGCTGGGAGGGTGCATTTGGGTGAGGGAAAGGTGCTGGAGGGCTGGAATGGTGCATTTAGGGAGCTGGGTGGTGCCAGAGGGTGCGGTTGTGTGTGGTTGGGTGCTGAGAGGACTTGGAGGGCAAAGATGGAGTGGGGGTTGTGATAGTGCAGAAGAAAAACACATAATTGAGCAGCAGGATAATGGTCCATCTGACGCTCTCAATAATGGACACAGTGTCAGATAGCGAAGATAGGATAATGTTGGTATCCAGTACAAGAATGGTGCCATATTGAGGCACAATGTTCAGAGATGGCATCGACACATTTTCTGGGAACAGGCTGGGCACAATTGCTATGTGGATACCTGAACCGGTGTGGGTGCAGCATTAAGAAGGTGGGTTCCATCATGAATTTCAGCTGAACCGGGACTTCAGCAGGTATGTTGGCATCAGATAGGGCTGGGGACACCTGCGTAAAAAAGATGCTTCATCTGTGGCAGGTTTCATAACTCCCATGTCCATAAAATACTAGTGCACCTCTTTTACAGCTGTTTGCATATATGTTGGCAGTCACATCGTTTTTTTTTGTTCAATTAGGAAACTTAGGACTTAGTGAAAATTGTGCTATCTAGCATCAACAGTTGGCGTACAACATGCCATTTCGCAGAATCAGCCGTGATGTCAAACTCGCAGCAATCCAACTACACGAATGTGAACTTTTGAACCTTCCAGACATCCTGGATTGCTGTGGATTTTCAGAATGGACTTGGTTTCACATTTTGAAACTCTGGCAGGAAACTGGTGATGTCGTCAACCCTCAGCCTCACAAATTACTCCGTGGTCGTGTGCATGCATTGGATCGCAAGGATATTGATTGCTTGCTGCGTCTTGTCAGACAGAATCCCAACTACTTCTTGGACAAGTTCATGCACCTCCTGAAAACAAATAGGTTCATATCTGTCCACTTCGCAACAATCTTCCATGAGCTCGAACGTGCTGGTGTAAGCTACAAGAAGCTCAAGCGGATTGCCTCAGAACGCAATGAAACTCACCGCACTGAGTTCATCGCCCGCATGGCTCAATATGAACCATCGGAGTTAGGGTTCATTGATGAGACGTCGAAGGATGAGTGGACACCCAGTAGGCACTATGGACGAGCACAGAAAGGCAAGCGTGCAGGGAGAGACCAAGTATTTGTGTGGGGACGATGAACATCAACAGAAGCCCTTCTTACACTAGATGGGATTGTTGCTACAATAGTTGTCGAAGGCTCAATGACTCAAGAGCTGTTTCTGGAGTGGCTTGAGAAGATTGTTGTAAGTCCCATGGATGGTTACCAAGACCTAACAGAAACTTTCAACCAGCTACCAAAATTTTCAGCCTACCCTGGTCCTCTCAGCGTCCTTGTCATGGACAATGCCAAAATTCATCATGGTGCAGAAATTCTCGAGCTAGTTGACCGTTTTGGTGTGTGTTCACTAGCTAATATCTTGTGTCCTTCATTATAATACAGTGTTTCGGTGTTCGCAGGTGTGCGTATCGAGTATCTACCACCATACTCGCCCGACCTCAACCCTATTGAAGAGGCATTCTCAAAAATCAAGCACTGGCTCCATTGCCATCAACAATATTATCTTGCCACTACAGGTGATGGTATCATCTTTGATATGTATGAGGTTACAGAGATCATATCTTCTGATGATGCACATGGATATTTCATACACGCAGGGTATTTCTAACCTATGAAACAGTCTGTATAGTATACATGGTACTGGCAATGTCATTGTGAGCAGGTCCAAGTCCTAGGAATAAAACATAAAGCATGAGGGAGAGACCACCTTTCCACCACATCATGTAATGCAGTGATCTCACCCAACTGAAACCCCATCTCCTTCAACTCTGGAATGGTTACAAAGCAAAGGAATCAAGCTTCCTTGTAGGCATTCTCAGCAAACTTCACGTGGATAGTGTTGCCTAGGTCATATTCTGCACAGAACTCATTGAGTGGCATATCTGTTCCTTGCATACGAGATGGATGAAGGAGAGAGGTACAAGTAGGGTCAAAAGGGGCTGGAGCTGCTGCCAGTGGCATTGCAGGAATAGTAGGCACCTGCGGGCGAAAAAAATTGATGACTTCATGTCCAATAGTGAAGTTGAAAACTGGGGCAGACAATGAAGACGATTTAGTGTTTGGGGTGTCAAGCCACCGCTGTAGTACAGGACTGATTGCTGAAGCACGAGAGTCAAAAAGCTTGTGATGTGGTGGCTTATTGATGGTTGCCATCCCATCAACCTTGAGCTGCACACATCAACCGACCAGCACAAAAGTCCTTGGGAAATAACTTGCCATCGCAGATGCCCAACAGTCGAATTGCTCGTGTCTGAGTGGGAGATGTTCTTCAGTTTCTGGGTTGACATAGCAGTGTTCAGAGGGGCATGCTGAATCCGTCCTCTTGCACTTCCAGTGAGCTCAAAGAATTTGAATGTTGTTCAACTTTCTCTCATTTCCAGGAAGGAGAGCAGAGGATTCTTTCTACGGAGGACATGGTCAGTAAGAAATGTACCAAGAACACTCTAAAATTCACTCATTTCTTATTCTTCGTTGTCGCATGTTCTTCGTTATCCTTGTTTTTGTCATTGCCAGTGTTTGTTCCCTGAACTTGGCCCTGGACAACAGTGATGTTGACAAGGGGAGTGACAGCATTCATCCCATTCACATGCTTCATCATACCATCAAAATCAGCTTGCATCATCAGTGATAATCCAGGTTTTGGGAGGACTCAGGGGATTTGGTATGTAAGGGCATAGTCATCAAAGTTGAGGACACGGGGCTTGATCGCATTGGAAATCTTCACAAGGACCTGGGCCTTGAGAGTGTCCCAGGGTTCATCAGAGTTCAGGTTGACAGAAGCACTGATAGGCTCGTATTTGGTCTTTGCTTTCTTCATTTCGGCAGCAGAGAATACAGTGATAATGTAGGAGACCTCCTTCGTCACCAGGGCTGGATCGTGATTGGCAATAGTACCTGACACAATGATCAATGGCAAACCCTGAGTATATGTATGAAAATGCATGAACATACCTCATTTTTGCTTCTTTACAATTGTCGGAGGGGGTGTAGGGATCCTTTGTGGTTGATCGGGTGCAGCAGCTATATTGATGTCATCTAATTCGTCGCTCTCGGTGTCATTGGCCTCAGGGTCATTGTCTACCTCCATCTGGTCGAGGGCATCAAGGATGGTACTAGTATTGTGAGGTCACAGATCATCTTCGTCAAAGCTGCTGTCTAGGTCCTCCTCAAGCATGAGAGCCAGATGGTTATGTGCTGGTTTTTGCGGCATTTGCGATACAAGATGAAGTACTATCACTAAAAAATTCTAAGTCCTAAGTTTTCTAATTGAACGAAAAAAACGACGCGACTGCCAACATATATGTAAACAGCTGTAAATGCAGGCCCAAAGTAGACCATTCAGCCCTCAAAGATCCACATGGTTAGACAAGGTTGTTGACCACATACCTGAGGCAAAGAAGGAGGAATGTTGTGGTCTATCAACTTGAACAAGCGACTCAGCAACTTGGAATAGCTCTCGCCAAATTAAGGTAGGTGTTCTGACTTGAATTGGAGATTTGGTGTTTGTCTGGCTCGCAGGGTGGGGTTGCTGATATGATGAACAAGCTGATGTGTTGTAGTCTCCCAGCCAGACCTATGTATATAAGGAGGAGGACAGACATTCCTTCTAAGTAGATGCAACACGACTTGGTCATGACAAGGCACTTTGTGACCATTTAATTGTTGCCATTACAAGTGATCCCAGAGGTGTCTGGGGACATTTTCACCTGTTCGTCACCCATCACCCGTTCGTTGATGCGATACTAGCTTCAAGTTGTGGATGGGTGATTATTCTGGAGGTACTAAAAACCCGGTACGTTGGTGATTCGATTTCACCACTTGATCACCTTGCACCTGCTCGCCACCACTCTTGTGGGTGTTTTGCACAAATCAGTACCCCAACAGGTTATTCGAACCTCCTTCCAGTTTCAAAGTGAGTGTCGTTTTCATTTCATTTATACAAAATATTTTCATCCTCTTATCCGAATCCTCGGTCTGGGGGTACCTTAACTATTCTTAGTACATACCAAACTGCGCATCATCAGTATGCCCTGCCAGCTGGTCCGGGTTCATCGGAGAATTGAACGCTGAACAACTGTGCCGCGGCCATCACGACAGCTATTCAGCTAGAGTAGTCGAGGATGCTTTGGATGCTTATTGGATGTCACCTTGTCATATGGTCACTAGCAGCGCAAGTCCCCTTGGGCTTCTCACCTGATGGCAAGCAGGAGTCACCGGAACTTGGATCTCTATCTAGGACAACTGGATCATATAACTCAGCTAGCCCTCTGGACTCGGGTAGCCTCGACATGATACCTTGGCAGCTTGATGAGCTACCTCCTGCTAACGCAACTGGGCACTTTGTGTTTGAAACTGTAAATTCGTTGCTCCAGCATTGGCCAAACACGCGCTATCGGAATGGTCAGTCTTATCCTGATTTTGGGACGAGTATCTGATACGGTGTTATCACTGACCACCAGGCCATGCAATTGTTCCGGGTGTCATTCCCAAAGGCACCTTATTGTATCATGGAGCTTTCAGCGACAAAATTCCTACGGTCCCTGAGTGGACGGCCACAGATCCGGAACACTCTGTCCTCTTCTGCCGAGGCTTGTCCGATACAGGATGTTGGCATTTGACGCTTGCAGCAACACGTCCCCTCAAAGTCCTTTATTTTGATGGGACCAGCGCAGCCAATACCAGAGATGGTACTCTCGACACTCAGGATATCATTGCATGGGGAGAGTTGAGACCCGACTGGTGGTTGAACGAGGTACAGCGCCTCGAAGATTTGTGCAAATGGGGTGCACCGTACGCTGTTGATGGTTATGTTCGGTAGGCCAACATGCCTAGTATCATCTCGTTATAGTATCGAACTTTTTTTTACAGAATGGAAATGGATTTGTATGTTCTTAATTGTCGCATAGTGCTCTTCAACTGATAGTGATGGATCCGCATAAGTGAAGTCATGCTCTGTGATTTTACGGCTGGCGTAGAAGTTGTCTCCTGGTCTAACCTTGCCAGCCTTGTCATACCGGTTTCTACAATCCCAGGAATTCCAAATACATACAGCAAGTCTCTATGTTTCCGTCTTCCTCGTGTCTTTCTGATGTATATATCTAGTGAATCGCATGTTCGAAGTGATGCACGCCGGGTCATGGCACAATCGATACCCTGGGGATACACGAATTAACCTTGATTTGGCTGGAATCGTCTCGCTGTACGACACAACCATCGCACCATCACTCGTTGATTCACGCGCCGGCCAGGAGCGGTGCGACCACCGTGTACAAGGCATATCTTCCGTAGATTTGAAGGTGGTGAGGCAGAGCGTCTCTCGCGCCTTAGAGCGGCATCAAGGCGACTTCAGTGGCATCGACTGGAAAACTCTTTTCAGAGTCATCGTGGAACGTTACTCAGACCGCCTTGACTTGATGAACTACCTTCTCAATCACACCTTGGAAAATGACACGCCTTGGGATCAAGCAACCAAGGTGCATGTCCAGCTGCGCGTGATGCTCACGCCATACATTTTCCACACTAGTGTTCCCCCCAGCGCATCCTATGACTCAGCTCATTCCTGGGCGACACCAGTGTTCAAAGCATGCGGGACTGTGCACACATCGTCCATCGCATCATATAGTTCAAGCTTGAACCATTCCGAACGCCTACTGTTGAATGCAGTACAAGAAACTACACGCGAGATATGTCGCATTATCACAAAGATGTGGGCTGCTGGCGTCGTTGCAGGTCTTGATCCATATCTTCCCCGTGATTCCCCTTCAGACGCCGCAGAAATTGCCCGCCTGATAGATACGTGGAGGCAAGAAATAAGTGATTTGATGGCTTGGCTTGATTGGAGCGTGTGGGTTAGGTGTCATCCAGCTTGCGGGCCTGAGGTAAACGTCTTGACATCATCCACTGCCTGCATTTTACCTGCGTTTCCTTTAGGAAATGTGCTACCTTCCCACTTGGCCCATAAACGAGCCGAGAGGTCGGAGGCCAGACCGTCCTCCATATAAACAACATGATACTATCAATGCGTCCTTCCCAGACAGACTATCTGTCAAGCACGGATTCCTTATGCAGTTGGCGGGTTCGCAGGATGATGAATGGAGGAAGCCCCAACCCAAGTGCATTAGGCGAGTTGAGCCATATGGTTTCTAGGTTTTCATCGGAAGCGAGTACTTGACAGCATCCTTCCGGTAGGACTGGAGACCTCTTTCTTACTGAAATATAGATGTTTTGGACACCGTATGCGACGTACTACTACCCACATGTCTTTTCTTTTGCCCAGATTTAGATGGGATGCAGCCTTGTGTCAATGATCTAGGATTATAGAAGACCATGTACGCATACTTCGTGGAGATTCTCCACCATTAACAATCATACAGACCGGCCCTGTGTATCAATACCGATATACACAGCCGACAAGGGTTCTCAGACTTTCTGTTCTCCTACTAGGGGGAGTAATGCTACTAGATGCATACATCGCTCGACTGCTTATGCATCACCCATTCATCCATGCATTTCTCGGATTCTCTCTCGTGTCACAGTGCTGCGTCTGTCCCCGACGCCCGACATGTGACATGGTGCCGTCTGTCCGATGCGCGATTGTATTGCATCTCCCCTTGTACCTGCATGAGTAGCACCTCATACACCTCCGCTCAATGTCGGTCGTACTTTTTTCGCCAGCTTTAAGTTTTTTACATTCTTTCGTGCTTTCGTCATCAACTCCAATTCTTAGCACTCGCCACGATTCGACCCAACGCAGGGATGGTGATGAGTTATGGGCAAACGGTATCCCAGCTGGGATATCTGCTACACCCTGCCTTGTATGGCAGCTTCTAGGAGGAAGGGATAATTATTTATGTGCTTTTGGAATTCGTCAGAAAACCACAGCGCGTGACGAAGATGTGGTATAAACCCCCGCAAATGCCTTCTTCAAGCGCAAGTTAATTCAAATAAGTGGACGTGACAGAATCGGCGATTTTCTCCCCGCTGGTGGAAAACGCGGACCGTAGGCGAGCCCTCCTGATATTCAAGCTTATCTGCTGGTCCCGTTTTTTCTCGTCAACCAATTGCACAATACATAAATTTAGGTGAAAGACACACCAACACATACCGGTGGTTCCTATGCCTTTATATAAGAGACCCCTGACCTCTCCTGACCCTGTCTGAACTCGAGCTGCCCACCCACACAGCCATGTCGCTCACGGTGAGTCGTAAACACTTTGAATATGGACATGACAGCTGAAACATTCAAGGTCGAATCCATCACTGCCCAGGAGGAAGCATGCCGCCTCCCCTCGTTCGACAGTAATGTCGCCTGGGAGATCGGAAATATCATCCGCACCAACGTCCAACAAAAGTTCACGCGCCCCGCCGTCGTCTACATCGCACATGCGAACTCATCCCAGCTCTTCTTCTTCGCCACTTCAGGACCTGGCACACTCCCGGACAACATGCACTGGGTGAAGCGCAAGGAAGCAGTAGTGCTCCGCTGGGGATGCTCGACGATGGGGATGAGATTGTCTCTGCAGACCCGGGGAATGACGCTACAGGAAAAGTTTGAAATGAGCGACCCGAGCATATATGCGGTGCATGGCGGCGGTTTCCCAGTGAAGGTGAAGGGTGTGGAGGGGGTCATCGGTGTGATAGTGGTTAGTGGTCTTGCGCAGGAGGATGACCATGGCGTCATTGTGGATGGTATCAAAGAATACCTTGCGAAGAATCCTTGAGCAATCGGTCCGTAAGTCGTACGTCACTGACAAATACATCGCATTGACAAGGCGTTTACTCAGAATCAAGGGGAAATATTAAGGCGGTGTAATTGTGTTTATTTCTAACCTGAATGCAAAAGAATAAGTTTGATGCGTTCATGAACAGCTTTCCTCATCAGAGTTCTGGGGTCTGTGGCAGCTAAATAATGATTGGACTCGTCTCCAAAGTGCATAGCGATCTTGCGTCCACCTCGATGATGCATTGCGATCAGAGCGGAAGCTCGATGTCTTCATAGATGATCTGTGTCTCGGTTGGGGTTCAACCATGACAGTATCCTGCACATGGAATAATTCAACAAGGCTCTAAAATCTTCACATGATCGAACTTACGTGTGCGATGGAGATCACTGGGTCTGCTGTGTCAGCAGGCAACATTTGATCTTTTCCCGACAATTGCCCGTCGTTGACATTATCATTTGGAGTATGATCTGCAAGAGTCGCCTCTAGGACCGAATTTTGTTCGGCGTCATCCATCTCTCTCGGGCTCGGAGGAAAATCACCTCCTGGAGGTAAATCGGAGATGGGGGACACTAACACTTCGTCGTGGTTAGCGCTTGTGCTGTTGATGGAAGAGAGGCTGCCATCCTCAAAAGTATGAAGCGAGACCAAATAAGACGACCCGTCTGAAAACGAGTGACAGTCAAAAATGCTGAGATGTCGTCGCCCCTGGTGCACGTTCAACATACATATTCGTTAGGTAGACAGGAGATCAGACCTTGCCGCAGAATGATCCGAGCTCTACGTTGGAGAGATTTGGTGCCGCAATGAGCTCACCAACATCCTCGATAAAGGGCTCCTCGGGATGAATTAAGGGTAATTGGTCGGCGATAGGAAGTGAGTCTATCAGCTGAAGCTTCAATGTCACGCTAGCCTGGTATATGCGAGGGGCACCATTCCGCCCTTGTACGTGCACATGCCTCAAAATATGTGAGACGACTAGAAAAATGTTAGCAAATTTTCTGATGACTTATAAAAGCTGCAGGACCTTTTGTTTGTGTTGATGTAGGTAGCTGCATCCAGTCACCAGATGACGCAAGGAGCACATCCTTGCAGAAAGCACGTTTTGCTAATAAGTGGATGCATATAGGCCAGTCCTCTCTCACTGAACTATTGAGAAGGCGGCTGTTGAGATATAACCATTCGCACGATAGGAAACGTCTTACAATTCAAATGACTCATTCCAGGCGTACTTTCCACGGTCGGACACACGAGTTCGCTGGCGAACATTATCGACGCTGACCTCCACGTAGCATCTATAAGGCCCAGGCGGGCACTCTGGATCGTCTGGTACTATCGAGACACTGATATCTGTGGATAACGATCATCGGTGAGCATCCTGCGGCGTAGATCATTGTAATTCACTTGCCAGAAACCTGGACGTGGTAATAGAGTTTCCGCCTTCCTCCATACGATCGCGTTGGGAGATAATCCATTCAAAGCCAGCAGCAGAAACTGACTGAGCACGAGGGCAGCGTAGTTTTAAGAGAAGGGGGAGCCATTTTGTCAGACGCCATGTCCGGCGCTGATGCACAGCAACGGTTTGATGTCTTCCCATGGTTGTAAGTAGAACAAATGCTGTTAGCCTACAAGCTGTCCGTACAACGTCGGAAAGTCATCATGATTCAAACTCGTCTTCAACAGGATCAAGTTGATGCTTCTTACTGGCAGAACGTATACGTAGGACAACGTTGTGAGAAGCTTATCGGAGAAAAAGCGCCTCGACTAACAGAGACAGCCCTAATGAGATACTGCACAAATATGCATCAACACAACGCGCGTCCGTGGTGCACGCGGTATGAAGGACATTCCTTAGCCTAAACTTTAGCACTTGCCCTTGTACAGATCATGGTGGCATCAACAAGTGAGCAAGTGAGTTGTCACACTACGGTCACTGATTATCATGATATTCATTCAATTACAGTTAACAGCGCTTGCTGGAACGACAGTTGGTGAGCAACCACCTGGATCGAATGCCCCCACATAGAATTAACACCTTCAGTCGTTCATCCTTTGGTCCTGCTCTCCGTTACTGATCATCATGCGCGCACCGTCTCGCGCACTTCATCAAAGCGTGTTGTTGGCGTTCTCCTGGGTCAGGACAACGGCAAGACTGTTAATGTTGCCAATTCCTTCGGGATCCCGTTCGAGGAGGATGAAAGAGATAGCAAGACGTGGTTCCTAGATCATAACTATATTGAAGGGATGTACGATATGTTCAAGAAAGTCCAACGGTACGTTCCTCATCACACGAGCAAATAAACATAGATGCTGAGTGAGATTGCAGCAAAGGAGCGGGATGATTGGATGGTACCACACGGGGACAAAGCTACGAGCCTCGGACCAGGAAATTAACGACCTCTTTAAGCGTTACATTGCGAAACCAGTGATGGTTATCGTTGATGTACGACCGCAGGCTGTTGGAATTCCAACGGATGCATACTTTGCAGTAGAAGAGATCAAAGACGTATGCCTTTCCTTTGTAATATATATTTGTACCGATTTTTATGGCTTCAGGATGGCACGGAAACACGGAAGACATTCCTTCACGTTCCTTCTGCAATAGAAGCTGAGGAAGCTGAGGAAATTGGAGTCGAACATCTCCTGCGCGACATCAAAGACTCAACGACCACAACTCTCTCAACACGTGTTTCTGAGCAACTCGCATCACTCCAAGGACTTCAATCCCGACTACAAGACGTGCACAAGTATCTCCTGGATGTTGCATCAGGCACGATGCCAGTCAATCACCAAATAATTTACCACCTGCAAGACGCACTCAACCTACTTCCTGACTTGAGCAATCCGGTGACACACACAGAGCTTCGCGTCAAGCACGAATGATCAACTACTAGTTGTCTATTTGAGCAGTCTGCTACGTGCTGTCATCGCGTTGCATGCTCTAGTGGACAACAAAGCCACGATAGGCGAGCCGAGCAAGAAGAAGGCGGTGATGAGAAGGACAAGGATAAAAAGACGGCTAACGGAGACGCGAAAAAGTCAGAGGATACCAAGAAGGATGGGGAGAAGGGAAGGACTCCAGTAAAAAGGACGCAGACAAAGGACTATGATGGAGGCAGGTCGCCGTATGTTCAGTACTTATCGTGGCTATCGATCGCATCATTCATCGACCGGCTTGCTGCGCAAAGACGAGCTTGGCTACTTACATAGTTCTCCCCGAAATGGATGAACATGTGATGAGCACGTGCCCGATGAAGTGCCGTGTGATTATGGAAGCACTTCTTTTTCTTTCTCCACCTTGGGCTTTTTTGTGTTCCTCCTCTCTTCACTCCATCCACAATCTTTCAGAAAAGTACGTCGATTTTTTGACTAGGATATTCACCTTTGTCCAATCCACTTTTTGCGTTGAGACCGTCAACGGCTGCGTGAATCTGTGCACGGACCCCTAACCATGATTTTTAGGATCTCTTCTCAATTGTTGGCGCTCGTGGATGTTTTAACTGTGGAGGCTGTGCGTGGTGTTTCCGTGTTGTCTGTTCCCCAGCTTTTGAGCAATTCCTCGTCGATATGGCGAATGAAATGCCCTACAGCCATTGCTATTTGCTTCTTCCTTATTTACATCTTCGAAATTCGTGTGCGGTGCTGACGAGGATCGCTATGTTCTTTTCTCATATATACCGATGACGCATGTTATCGTCGACGACTCGCACAAAATCGCAATATATTGCATTGCTCGTCATCTCTGACTCTCTGCCGTGCTTCGTTCTGTACCACCGATCTCATGAAGACAGTCGGCCATCAAGCTGCTAACTGCCCTAAGGCAGGCACTCCTACTTGGTAACTATTGATCTTGTTTATGCTGGGCATCGTCTCATTTTCGCTCGTCTCATTTAGCTACAACTGTACGTTAACTATCAGTCCATTTTTACACGGTGTTCACGAGGTCTGCAGGTGGCATGGAGGGTCATGTTTCTCGTGATTGCACGATGGAAGTCAAAGCCAAGTCTTGCTACAAATGTGGTCAAGAGGGTCACATTGTATGTTTGTTCGGGGATCGCGGTTAATCTTTTTACTCATCGCATTCAGTCTCGCGATTGCCCGAAGGCGGTGCTTCAGGCGGTGGTGGCGGCGGCTATGGTGGAGGATTCTCTTCCCAGGAGTGCTACCGCTGCGGCAAGGCCGGTCATATTGCCCGCGCATGTCCTGAGGCCGCGGGGGGCAACACTAGCTACGGAGGTGGTGGCAACTATGGTTCCTTTGGCGGAGGCTCGAAGTCTTGGT